GCTAAATTTTTAAGAAGTAACTAAATCACAAACTGGGTTTTTATTCTTCCTAAAATAATCTTAAGATCAATCAAGAAACTGACTTTTGGATCACCCTTTATATCATTTTATTTTATTACGATTAAATTATAATTAAATTAAATTATTAAATATTTTTAAATTTCTCGACTGAATTCTTTATAGTATTTAATTAAAGTTTGTATTGTGTGACATTTATCATGTATTTCGATTGGAACCAACTTTATATCAATTGTAATTTAAATGATGAGGAGTTATCATCGTTGCAATTATTTTGGGACTCAATTTAAATTGCATTCCTTTCATCATATGCAGATTTATTCAATTTAATATGTTAATATGTAGATAAATGAGTCTTCTTATGTTAATATATATTTTGAAATGAATATAATTTCTTCCAAAAATTAGTTATAAACACATGAAATCCACTTTCCATTTTCCTCTTCAGGATTTTTCGATTGCTCTTAAAAAATATCGATTTTACTACTCTAAACGCATATTAAAATTTAATTTAAAGAAAATATTTATTTATATGAATACCTAAACAAATAAAAAAGACTCAACAATCGATAATTTATTAATAAATTTTGTTATTTGCAATTAATAAATTTTTCACAAGATTTTATTGTAGTTTCGTTATATCTACATAATTTATATTTCCAGTTGCACAATAAATTTAAATAATTTATAATAAAGTTATATAAATTATTTAAATTTATAACTTTATTTTAGTTTAATGTAAATAATTTATATTAAACTAAATTACATTAACTTTATATTTGCATTTTTTAAACATTATAATAGTTTTACATACTTGAAACACGTATTTTTATGTATATAAATATCTGTTGCATTATTCTAGAATTTCTAATATATATTTTTCTAGAAGAATTTTACTAAATGTACAAAAATAAATGTTTTATATAATCTTTCAAACGTTTATTTTAAATTTTCTATACTTTTATTAAAGTACTTTTTATATAAACAAACATTGGTGCATTATCCGATGGGCAAAAAGGACAATTGCCTGATATAGAATAGATTAGAGATGTAATAGATTAGTTTCGGGGCCTTCTCCAACAGGAGGGGGCCCCAAACTAATCTATTACAAGAAAATATTTCCTCCAAAGAATTCCCTCTGAAGTCAACACTGTTTATGAAGCTCCTAATTCAAATTTGCCTGGGCCCGTGAAGCTATAACACCCCCACTGTAAACAAGTAAAACAATACGCCAAAAATATATATTAATTAAGCATAGAACTGAAAAAAAACTGTTATAATGTTGTAAAATTTAAGAAAATAGAAGAAATAAACAATAAAAATACAGACATTAAATTAACAATGTGATTTTTATTTAATTTTTTTTTTACTTATAAAAAAATAGGAAATTAATTAAACTTTTGTTCTCCTAAAAGACAATAGATTTCTAAGAGAAACAAAGCTAAAGACCCGAAACAAAATGATTAGCTTTCAACTCATAATTGACCAAGTGAATGGGTCGGCGTCAAAAAGAAAAGAAATTTCATTGTCCAATGTCACTTTCTGTCATCTTTTATTGAAACTCAAAGAAATATGTCCTCAATTATCACAAAGAGCGACAAGCGTACAAATGTTAACTTGCCATATTAAACTGTTTGTTTGAATAAATTTATGAAATTTTAATTGTCATCTTTTAACGTTATGACAATTCCTACATAAATGAAAAATAAATTTTTACATTTAACTAATTTTCTTTATTGCCTGTAACGCCATCGTAATGAAACTATTAAAGATTTTTCTATCATTAATAAATTAATTCGAATTAAATTTTATGTAAATTCTTTTTGCATTATATATGTAAAACCTAGCAACGAGTTGCTTAACTTTCCCAGCAACATTTAAAACAAACTGCGTGTGTGTCGCCATCTGTTATGATATTTTATTTTTAAAAAGTTTTATAGTTTTAATTATTATAAAATGGCAAAAAGCTTAATTTTTAGAGTAGGGATGGGTTATATATATATATAAATGCTAATAACGAGTAAAATCGTCATTAAGTTCGTCCCTATACGACGCATGACCCCCCTTCTATCTCCCCACTCCCTTGACTTTTAATCACCAAAATTTAAAAGCTTTAATCACCCTAATACACAAACCTCCCTGCAAAATTTCAGACATTTTCGACAAAAATTACAGGAGTTATTAAGCTTCAAAATCGTGCCTCTCACACACACTAACATCCATACATACAGAAAAAAAAACTCGAATTTTTTGACGTTTCAAGGTGTCCTAAGTCCAAAAAATGTAAAAAAAACTTGGGGGTCAATTTTCGACCGATTACCATACTTTCCCTCAGTTATATATAACACAACCGGCAAAGTAATATACTATATACTACATGCCATATAATGTATACTATATACACTATTTGAATCATTAATAAGGTATTTATATGTATAACTTATATACCTCATTAATGATTTATACAGTAGAACTAACACTTTTAAACCTTTCATAAACAATTTGGGTCACGAATATATTTACACTTAAGCTAGGAAAGGCGTTAAAAAGTTTCTAGTATAAAAGCATTCCGACGATAATGATATAAAAATAACCTCTTCAAAACTTTCTAAACAATAAAAAAAAAAAAAGAAATTCTTTTTAGAAACTATAAAATAAAGTTCTAGGTACTTGCTGACGTTTAGTCATGTAGGATTTCCATCACATTTTCGTCCGTTTGAGTGCAAACATCTAAGAAAATCTCCCTCCAGACATTACTTCAATTGCATGGAAAATAAAAATAAAATAAGAAAAAAATTATTCCTTTTCTCTAACAAAACTGAAAATGTAGCATATCCGCTATTTAGTATTCAGAATATTTTTGTAGGGAAATTTTCTTAGAAGATAAACGTGACCGTAAAGAATAAAAGGAATAAATAAAAAAAAAATATATATATATATAAGAAAGCGTATTTTTCGATAGTGTTAAGATCTCGTTTATTGCCTTGTATGCCTTACAAATAAATAACATTTGATATATGCAAAATGTATGAGTTTTAAAAATCTATACCTCTTTGAATTTATTTCTTTAACTTTGACGGATTGTTGCAGACAATAGGCTGAAGAACACATAGAGCAATACGAAAGTTGGTATTCTTTACAATGTCACTTTACCCAAAATTCGGGATTTCGTATTTTCTTAGTGATGAATTGCTTTGAGATACCAAGTATTTGATAGGTTATACTTTAGAGGAAAGGGGGAAAAATTTGATTTATTTTTTAGAATATCTTCAAAATGTGATGTTAAATAAAATCAAAATATATTAAAGATTTATATCATTTTTATTGCTAAATTTTATATCTCTGAAACATTACTTTAAAGTGAGAAAGATAAATCTCTACATTCAAGAATTCTCTTAATTTTTTTTAATGTGTAATATCGTAATTAAATTTTAATCTAGATTTTTTTTCCTGTAATAATTCAAAATATTAAAAAAAAATTATACTTTTAGGATCATTTTTAAATGTTATAATATTTAATTTTCTTTTTACATTATTGTAATACACTAAAATTGAAATTAGAACAACTTATAGAGATAAAGAATGCATCTGTATAAGTTACTATAACTTTTAAGCAGTAAATTTTAAAAAAAATTATATACAGTAAAACCTGTGTAAAGCGGAATCGCACTGTATTGAATATTTTTTCCGTTTTGAACAGGGTTTTCTTAAGCACAGAAAAATCTCTCCGTTTACAAGTATTTTTTTTCCTGTTTTAGGCAGGTTTCCGTTTTATTCAGGTTCCGTTTTGGACAGGTTTAATTTATATAACTTCTCGAAAGTTATATAAATTAATTTTTTAACTATTTAATTTTATAAAAAAACATACACAAATAATAATTTAAATTTTAGAGAGGAAAGGACATCTTCCATTCCTAGTTTTTGCTATCAATTTATCATTTCTCTACTTTTTATATCCGTAAACTTTCTTAATTTTTATAACTTTAATTTGATAATATAACTTCTATTTAATTTTATTTTTTAAAAAATAACAAATATTAAACTTTGTAAAGAATTGGCAGACGTGTGATGTGAATCCGAAAATAAACAATATATACAACTCACATTTTCAAGTCATGTTATTCATATAAAACTTTTTTTTAGAAATTTAAATTTATTGAATAGACTCGATCATGTATTGAATAATGAATAAGGATTTTAAAATTTATAAAAAAAAATAATAGAAAATTGAATAACGTATTTATACTATAATAAATTCATTTAAAATACGGCAAAGATGCAAACAAAATTGAATATAAGAATATATTAAAGAAACTTAAGTTATAAGTTATACGAGGATTATTTATTAAATAGTATTTTTTATAGGTCTAAGCCCTCTATTGAGGATTGTTTAATGAATATAACTCATTCAATCACTTTTATCGGCTTACTTTATCCCTTAAACCTCAGAAACAGTATGCTTCCTATACATGGATTCTAGTAAGTATATGGGTTGTTGATCCTGGTTTATCCCATCAACTAGAACAGGGTGTAAGAGAAGAGAGATATTTTTTTGTTCTGCTCTAATNTGTAATACACTAAAATTGAAATTAGAACAACTTATAGAGATAAAGAATGCATCTGTATAAGTTACTATAACTTTTAAGCAGTAAATTTTAAAAAAAATTATATACAGTAAAACCTGTGTAAAGCGGAATCGCACTGTATTGAATATTTTTTCCGTTTTGAACAGGGTTTTCTTAAGCACAGAAAAATCTCTCCGTTTACAAGTATTTTTTTTCCTGTTTTAGGCAGGTTTCCGTTTTATTCAGGTTCCGTTTTGGACAGGTTTAATTTATATAACTTCTCGAAAGTTATATAAATTAATTTTTTAACTATTTAATTTTATAAAAAAACATACACAANAAAAGAAAAGAAACAGAATCATAGAAAATGTTTATTCTTTCTCTAAGTTTAACGATTTCAATGAATATTTTGCTCAGGTATCGAGTATAGTGGGAAGAGCAGAGGTTTTATCAGCTGCTTTCTTTTTGATGTCCATGATTGCCTTCTGCAAGTAAGTACCACTCATTACCCTCTGTAATTTTACCATTAATATTGAATGAACCTTTCATCTGTTGAAAAGCGGACATTAAGGAATTTAAATCGATCTACTTTTATAAAAATACATTGCAATTTTCGAAGTAAAAATCACTCGTAAACCTCATTTCTAATTGCGCCTTTCGGTGATTCGCAGAGCATTTCGTCTGAAACTTTTGTTCATTTTTTTTTTCTCTCCTTCATCCTGTAGATCGTTGCCATTAAAATTGTTGCTGTTTCCCCCCTTACAACACATTTTAGAAAGTGCAGAAAACAATTATTTATTTTTACTCTTGACTGATGAGTTCAAATAAATTAGTTCACATTTCATTTTACTTTTCAATAAAACTTAAAAATAATGTTTATTCTTTTATGATTTTTATTAAATTATAAAAATAAATTTCCTAAAAATATTATTTTTATAATAANAAATTGAATATAAGAATATATTAAAGAAACTTAAGTTATAAGTTATACGAGGATTATTTATTAAATAGTATTTTTTATAGGTCTAAGCCCTCTATTGAGGATTGTTTAATGAATATAACTCATTCAATCACTTTTATCGGCTTACTTTATCCCTTAAACCTCAGAAACAGTATGCTTCCTATACATGGATTCTAGTAAGTATATGGGTTGTTGATCCTGGTTTATCCCATCAACTAGAACAGGGTGTAAGAGAAGAGAGATATTTTTTTGTTCTGCTCTAATTTCTACTGTCCAAAATACATAAATGATATATTACTTTGATGTTTTTCAGATTAAATGTTATCTTAAAAGGATGGTGCGTTTGGTGGTTCCATTTAGTAAACGTTATTTTGCATACTATTGTTGTATATTTGCTGATGTATATGTGCAGAAATGTGCTTTCTTGGGATATTGAAAGTTCGGGAACTGCAGCATTGTTATTTACCGCCCATCCAATACACACAGAAGCTGTAAGTACGAAGTAAATTATAAAATCTAATGAATTTTCTATCGGATTTTAAAATTTTTTTAAAATGATTAACATTAAACTTTCATGTAGGATATTAATAAATTTTAATGTTAAATACTACACGCTAATGTATTTAACTTTTCAAATGATTTTTCTCGTGGAGAATTAAGTATAAGTTCGAATAGAAAAAAGATTAAGGGATCGAATTTCGATAATTGCTAATTACATTAGCATTTAAAATTTTCTTTCATTGTAAAAAAAAGAAAAGAAACAGAATCATTAAAAATATTTTAATTTTCTCTATCAGCTGTCTTTCATTCTAACTCTTCACATCATTTGATAGAAAAAGATAGAAGAGAGAAGATAAACAAATAATAAAGAATCTGGCATATCAATGATCATAATGTTTTTAATTATGTTTAATTAAGAAATTTATGTGCAAGCTTTTTATAAAAAGAGAATAAATGTATTAACATTACAACTATATTGAATTTCCTAAGTATTATATAAGGTTTACATGCTTATTTGTTTTCTTCTATGTTTTTAGAGATATTTTCAATAATAATACGTACAAAACTTTATTTATTATAAAATAATGTTATAAATCTATAGCTTACGAGTATATTTTCTCTATTATATTAAATAATTATATATGTCTAGTTATTTACCGTTATAAAATTATTTTTAGATAAAACAGACTTAAATATAGTTGAGTAAATCTCTCATATTGCCTTCAATTCTAATATATATATATATTAGAATTGAAGGCAATATGAGAGATTTACATCATCATATCTATTGTAAAAATTAGTTTTACTTAAAAAATTTCATCTAGACGATATTTTAAGCTGTAGTGTGTAGATGCAGATTCTTATCCGAATCCTTGCATCTCTACAGCTTCTTACACATTAGAGTTAGAGTGAGAAAGGTATCGCTACTCCCCAACTTCACATTGGTGTGAGTAGGTAAATCTTTAGGGAGAATAATTTACTGTAGGAAAGAAACTGTGATTTCTAATACATCGACAACATAGGTATAAAAAGTTAGTTCAGTGCTGCTGTAATTACATCCAATACCGTTCTACTTGTCAGTAGAATGGAGAGGAAGAGATTAATAGCGGATGCCCTCCCACGAGAGAGGTAGAAAGAGATCACTGAGAAAGTTATTGACCTACGGATTGCTTGCTTCAATTGGAAGGACATTAATTTAAAATCCCTCGATACCGAGATGTTACTTCCGAATTTTTACTGCTTAATGATAACTGTCCATCTCTAAACATAAACAGAAACGTCTCTTCTATACTCTTAAATTTCTCGCTCTTAAACTTTAGTCATCACTTTAATTAAAAAAAAACGAAAGTAAACAATATTATTAAGTCTCATTACACTGTTTTTTTTTGTTTTTTTTTACATTTGTGACTTTTCTAAATGCAAAATAATAATTTTTTCCCTCTCCTTATTTCTTGTGAATACGATTTTTTTTTAAATTATATGATAGCTAATATAAAAATAAGGCTAAAAATTAATTTAAAGTCACAAAGTAATTATACTTTACGATTTATAGTAAAAAATTTTTCATCAGCAAGGTAATACTAAAACCGGAACTGACGTCACACACAGCTGTTAGAGACACATACACGTGGCAGAGATCTTGGGCACGCGCATGAATTTCTCCCCTTACCAAAGAATCGATCGTAGAAGATATCAGTTTGGGGGTCTGTGCCCAGTATGCCAATCTCCCTCGTGTGTGTGGTGTGTATAAATGTGTGTGTGTGAGTTTGAGGAAATGAGTGAATGTTTAACCACTAAATCGAACATAGCAGAATCAACAACACTATCATGGGACATACGTTTGTGGTGACAAGACACAACACAGTAACGGTGCTAACTTACACTTCTTTAACTGTTATCATCCTAATGAGTTACGCTAATAGCTTGGAAGGTGATTTTGTTCACGATGATATCGTCGCTATTATTAGAAATCCCGATGTCAATGGAAAGAATGCGTTATGGGAATTATTTTTCAACGATTACTGGGGAAAGTCCATGGCTGATTGGGACAGTCNACAATAAATATATAAACAAATATATTTTTCATTAAATTTTTCAATTTTGTTTATACAGCGGAAAATGAAAACTTAATCTTTAAAAAAACGTAATTGGATTTAGTTTCATAAGGTGGAAATAAAAATAGAAAATTTCTAGTTTCTATATAGAGATAAACAAAGGAAATTGGTTCAATTTCTACACCATTCATTCACACCGATGCTCATAAAGTGTACAAACTCCAATATCGATGTAGGCTACGTTGGAAGTGTATTGTCTAGTTCGGCAAAAGATCAACCACACTCCTTCAGTTTCGATCCATTCAGCAACCTCAAGTGATGTTGCATTGTCGATCGTTCGTTGAATCGTTCTTAAATCCATTGATTCAAAATAATTCTCTCGAGAATTCTAACAATAAGGGAATTGTTTCGACTAACTTTGAAAAGAAAAAAAAAATAATAAACAGAAATTTTTCAGGTATTTCATTCGGCAAATTTGTACTAGAAGTAAATTGTGATAAACTCCTTACAATTGAGTTATTGTTAACTTTTTAAAAAAGTATATATATATAGTATATAATGACAATAATGGCCGTTAAACACAATAGGAAAGATGTTAGTGAGTAAGTATGACTTTTGTAACTTTACTTCTGTTATAATGCTTTGAATAAAGTCTGTCGACTAATGGAGGTCGTTGAGGTTACATCGAATGGAATTTCAACGGATTACCCAACAATGTTGCAATTCATTAAGTAAGATCGTTATGTTTCAGAANATAAATGTTTTATATAATCTTTCAAACGTTTATTTTAAATTTTCTATACTTTTATTAAAGTACTTTTTATATAAACAAACATTGGTGCATTATCCGATGGGCAAAAAGGACAATTGCCTGATATAGAATAGATTAGAGATGTAATAGATTAGTTTCGGGGCCTTCTCCAACAGGAGGGGGCCCCAAACTAATCTATTACAAGAAAATATTTCCTCCAAAGAATTCCCTCTGAAGTCAACACTGTTTATGAAGCTCCTAATTCAAATTTGCCTGGGCCCGTGAAGCTATAACACCCCCACTGTAAACAAGTAAAACAATACGCCAAAAATATATATTAATTAAGCATAGAACTGAAAAAAAACTGTTATAATGTTGTAAAATTTAAGAAAATAGAAGAAATAAACAATAAAAATACAGACATTAAATTAACAATGTGATTTTTATTTAATTTTTTTTTTTACTTATAAAAAAATAGGAAATTAATTAAACTTTTGTTCTCCTAAAAGACAATAGATTTCTAAGAGAAACAAAGCTAAAGACCCGAAACAAAATGATTAGCTTTCAACTCATAATTGACCAAGTGAATGGGTCGGCGTCAAAAAGAAAAGAAATTTCATTGTCCAATGTCACTTTCTGTCATCTTTTATTGAAACTCAAAGAAATATGTCCTCAATTATCACAAAGAGCGACAAGCGTACAAATGTTAACTTGCCATATTAAACTGTTTGTTTGAATAAATTTATGAAATTTTAATTGTCATCTTTTAACGTTATGACAATTCCTACATAAATGAAAAATAAATTTTTACATTTAACTAATTTTCTTTATTGCCTGTAACGCCATCGTAATGAAACTATTAAAGATTTTTCTATCATTAATAAATTAATTCGAATTAAATTTTATGTAAATTCTTTTTGCATTATATATGTAAAACCTAGCAACGAGTTGCTTAACTTTCCCAGCAACATTTAAAACAAACTGCGTGTGTGTCGCCATCTGTTATGATATTTTATTTTTAAAAAGTTTTATAGTTTTAATTATTATAAAATGGCAAAAAGCTTAATTTTTAGAGTAGGGATGGGTTATATATATATATAAATGCTAATAACGAGTAAAATCGTCATTAAGTTCGTCCCTATACGACGCATGACCCCCCCTTTATCTCCCCACTCCCTTGACTTTTAATCACCAAAATTTAAAAGCTTTAATCACCCTAATACACAAACCTCCCTGCAAAATTTCAGACATTTTCGACAAAAATTACAGGAGTTATTAAGCTTCAAAATCGCGCCTCTCACACACACTAACATCCATACATACAGAAAAAGAAACCCGAATTTTTTGACGTTTCAAGGTGTCCTAAGTCCAAAAAATGTAAAAAAAACTTGGGGGTCAATTTTCGACCGATTACCATACTTTCCCTCAGTTATATATAACACAACCGGCAAAGTAATATACTATATACTACATGCCATATAATGTATACTATATACACTATTTGAATCATTAATAAGGTATTTATATGTATAACTTATATACCTCATTAATGATTTATACAGTAGAACTAACACTTTTAAACCTTTCATAAACAATTTGGGTCACGAATATATTTACACTTAAGCTAGGAAAGGCGTTAAAAAGTTTCTAGTATAAAAGCATTCCGACGATAATGATATAAAAATAACCTCTTCAAAACTTTCTAAACAATAAAAAAAAAAAAAGAAATTCTTTTTAGAAACTATAAAATAAAGTTCTAGGTACTTGCTGACGTTTAGTCATGTAGGATTTCCATCACATTTTCGTCCGTTTGAGTGCAAACATCTAAGAAAATCTCCCTCCAGACATTACTTCAATTGCATGGAAAATAAAAATAAAATAAGAAAAAAATTATTCCTTTTCTCTAACAAAACTGAAAATGTAGCATATCCGCTATTTAGTATTCAGAATATTTTTGTAGGGAAATTTTCTTAGAAGATAAACGTGACCGTAAAGAATAAAAGGAATAAATAAAAAAAAAATATATATATATATAAGAAAGCGTATTTTTCGATAGTGTTAAGATCTCGTTTATTGCCTTGTATGCCTTACAAATAAATAACATTTGATATATGCAAAATGTATGAGTTTTAAAAATCTATACCTCTTTGAATTTATTTCTTTAACTTTGACGGATTGTTGCAGACAATAGGCTGAAGAACACATAGAGCAATACGAAAGTTGGTATTCTTTACAATGTCACTTTACCCAAAATTCGGGATTTCGTATTTTCTTAGTGATGAATTGCTTTGAGATACCAAGTATTTGATAGGTTATACTTTAGAGGAAAGGGGGAAAAATTTGATTTATTTTTTAGAATATCTTCAAAATGTGATGTTAAATAAAATCAAAATATATTAAAGATTTATATCATTTTTATTGCTAAATTTTATATCTCTGAAACATTACTTTAAAGTGAGAAAGATAAATCTCTACATTCAAGAATTCTCTTAATTTTTTTTAATGTGTAATATCGTAATTAAATTTTAATCTAGATTTTTTTTCCTGTAATAATTCAAAATATTAAAAAAAAATTATACTTTTAGGATCATTTTTAAATGTTATAATATTTAATTTTCTTTTTACATTATTGTAATACACTAAAATTGAAATTAGAACAACTTATAGAGATAAAGAATGCATCTGTATAAGTTACTATAACTTTTAAGCAGTAAATTTTAAAAAAAATTATATACAGTAAAACCTGTGTAAAGCGGAATCGCACTGTATTGAATATTTTTTCCGTTTTGAACAGGGTTTTCTTAAGCACAGAAAAATCTCTCCGTTTACAAGTATTTTTTTTCCTGTTTTAGGCAGGTTTCCGTTTTATTCAGGTTCCGTTTTGGACAGGTTTAATTTATATAACTTCTCGAAAGTTATATAAATTAATTTTTTAACTATTTAATTTTATAAAAAAACATACACAAATAATAATTTAAATTTTAGAGAGGAAAGGACATCTTCCATTCCTAGTTTTTGCTATCAATTTATCATTTCTCTACTTTTTATATCCGTAAACTTTCTTAATTTTTATAACTTTAATTTGATAATATAACTTCTATTTAATTTTATTTTTTAAAAAATAACAAATATTAAACTTTGTAAAGAATTGGCAGACGTGTGATGTGAATCCGAAAATAAACAATATATACAACTCACATTTTCAAGTCATGTTATTCATATAAAACTTTTTTTTAGAAATTTAAATTTATTGAATAGACTCGATCATGTATTGAATAATGAATAAGGATTTTAAAATTTATAAAAAAAAATAATAGAAAATTGAATAACGTATTTATACTATAATAAATTCATTTAAAATACGGCAAAGATGCAAACAAAATTGAATATAAGAATATATTAAAGAAACTTAAGTTATAAGTTATACGAGGATTATTTATTAAATAGTATTTTTTATAGGTCTAAGCCCTCTATTGAGGATTGTTTAATGAATATAACTCATTCAATCACTTTTATCGGCTTACTTTATCCCTTAAACCTCAGAAACAGTATGCTTCCTATACATGGATTCTAGTAAGTATATGGGTTGTTGATCCTGGTTTATCCCATCAACTAGAACAGGGTGTAAGAGAAGAGAGATATTTTTTTGTTCTGCTCTAATTTCTACTGTCCAAAATACATAAATGATATATTACTTTGATGTTTTTCAGATTAAATGTTATCTTAAAAGGATGGTGCGTTTGGTGGTTCCATTTAGTAAACGTTATTTTGCATACTATTGTTGTATATTTGCTGATGTATATGTGCAGAAATGTGCTTTCTTGGGATATTGAAAGTTCGGGAACTGCAGCATTGTTATTTACCGCCCATCCAATACACACAGAAGCTGTAAGTACGAAGTAAATTATAAAATCTAATGAATTTTCTATCGGATTTTAAAATTTTTTTAAAATGATTAACATTAAACTTTCATGTAGGATATTAATAAATTTTAATGTTAAATACTACACGCTAATGTATTTAACTTTTCAAATGATTTTTCTCGTGGAGAATTAAGTATAAGTTCGAATAGAAAAAAGATTAAGGGATCGAATTTCGATAATTGCTAATTACATTAGCATTTAAAATTTTCTTTCATTGTAAAAAAAAGAAAAGAAACAGAATCATAGAAAATGTTTATTCTTTCTCTAAGTTTAACGATTTCAATGAATATTTTGCTCAGGTATCGAGTATAGTGGGAAGAGCAGAGGTTTTATCAGCTGCTTTCTTTTTGATGTCCATGATTNTTTTCTTTGAAATTTTAATATTTTTTTATTTAGAAAACAAAATATTTACGTAAATAATAAAAATTAAATAAAATAAATATGTAAAAAATTAAAAATTGATTATAATTATGAGAACTACAAGTACATTACATGAAAAAAGTACCTACTTCTCTAACAAATTTCATCATAATTATATAATTTTATCATAATAGAAACCCATGTACATATTTATTGTGTAAAATATGTTGAAAATTATTTTAAAGCTTACAATAAATTAAGATTTCACGCTAATTTTATCTATATAATGCTACTTTTAATAGCATTATTTGGCTAATTTAATCAGATTTTTTTTTCTTAATTTTTTTAAAAAACTTAATCAAATTTTATTTTAAAAATATAAGAAAAATATATAAAATTAAAGTTTATATATTTATTTTAATTAATTTTATAAAATGTTTTTACTACAGAAAATATAGGATATGTATTTTGATTTTACAAATTCATTAAATTTATCTTCATGTAACGATAATTTAAATTTTAAAATATTATAGCGTAAAAAATCAAATATGTAATTTAATTTACTTTATTGTTTTACACTCGTAATTTCATTATAAAAATGTTTGAATTAAAAGAAATTTGTAAATATTAATAATATTAATAAAATTCTTTAAAATTTTTTACTTAAGAAATTAAATAAATGTTTCTATATTCTACTTTTCACTTTAAAGATATCAAAAATTTAGAGACAGGGTGGAAAGAAAGAGAGAGAGAGAGAGAGAGAGAAGGGGGGAAAAATGAGACTGAAAAATAAGTTATAAATTTTATTCAAGGAATTTTAATTTAATAGAAAACTATCGTTTTCTTTAAGTATAAAACATTTTGGAAAATTGCATCTTTGGATTAAATTTTGATAGAAATTGCAATATTGTTTGATATATTACTATATCATAAATTTCATTTCAAGAACTTTTCTCTTAACTTTCTCAATGACAAAGTAACAACGTATTTTCCAACAGCTGTTACAAGATGGTACAGAAATCTGTCGTTTCAAAATGGTTGGCCGTTACTGTTATCTGTGCTACGTTTTCTCTTCTTTCTAAAGAACAAGGCATCACTGTCTTGCTAGTTTGCACCGTTTATCATCTGCAGCAGAAGTGGAGAGAGAGCCATTCTTTCAGGTAAACGTTTTCCTCTCTTTTTTTTATGACTCTACAGTAAAAAAGCATTATTACTAAAAAAATATGAAGGTACTATTATGTAAATAAGCTTTCATATTTTATTATATATATATAATAACATTGTTTACTGTTATTGGATAAGTAAATTGCGTTAAAATTTGCCATTTTTACTATGCCAAATGTTGACGTTTATTATCAAACTTATACTTTTAGACTTTAGTATAATTAAATGTTGAGAGATTTTATTCTACTCTTACTTTTTTCAGCTTTTGAATAAGTAGATGTAAAATCGATATAACGTTGTTGTTTAATTCAAAGGTTTATGAAAGAGCTAATATATGATTAATTATCAAGGATAGCTAATTAATCATCAATTATCTCGTTGTAGTAAACTAAAAATGTGAAAATTGTATACACGAAAGTAGCATTAATTATTAAATTTATATATACTAAGTTTTTTGTTTTTGTGAGTTTTTTTATTACTTAGAAAACTTTTTATGCGTCTCTTCAAACTTTTATGATTTCTAAAGTTTTATAGTGTATTGTTTAGTCAATAGTTTGACATAAGACAAGTAACGTGAGTTCAATTAATTTTTGTTTTTAAAATTAAAATTTTCTAGGTTTTTAAAATTTATTTTATAAGTAAAAGTTGAATATAAGTCAAAACTTTATTAAATAATAAAATATTTCATTCCAAGAATGAAATTATTAATAAAAATATCTTCACTTTTGTATCATACAGCAATGACAAAACTTAATTTTAAAGGAATTTAATAAATAAAAAAATATTTTTTTATCATCGTGTCAGTGTTATAACAGTGTTAACTCATTTATTAAGCCTCAAAATAACGTATGACATTCTGTACCTCTAAATATAGGACTACGTTTAGACATGCTTTTATATTACGTTACGTTACGTCTGACAATCAAAGAAGCGTTATTTAAGACGTTACAAATAATACCTTCTTTCATTGATCAGATGTATCGTAACGTAATGTAAGAAAAGCCTGTCTGAACACAGCGTAACAGCCTCGTGTGTTGTATCAAAGTAATCCTCCTAAAAAAAAATTCGACAACGATTAGATAGTGAAGTAGCTATATCGAAGATGGTTGCTTTTTTTTATTTCTATTTTTTAGTTAATTATATTTTTAAAAACCAATCTTTAATTCAGTCTCTAATAATAAAAATTTAAAGCTTTTAAATTTTATATAATATGTAGATGACTCTTATATTTATATTAAAAAATTGATGATTCTTTGTTATTTCGTAAGTCCAAATATAAGTTAGAAAAGGTGTTAGAGGGATGCTCAGAGACTGGATAAAGATTTTAATTTTTTTATATTAGAATATGAAGTTAAAGTTTTATTTGATAAGTGATAAAAATCTGTTTTCTTGATTTTATTTATATATTTATGTAACTTTTGGAGGGATTGGCTCTACATTAATGATTGACTCAAGCTCATCTCAGTTTCTATAACACTACCTAACATTATTGTATTTTTAAAAATCATTATTAATATAAATAAATTGTTTTGTATTGTTATAATAATATTATTAAAGCTGTTAATTAAGTGTAGAAGCTAAGAAAAAAATTAAACTTTCTTTTAATAATTTAACATAACAATATTACTCAAATAAAGTTGAAAACATAAATCANGAATTTTAATTTAATAGAAAACTATCGTTTTCTTTAAGTATAAAACATTTTGGAAAATTGCATCTTTGGATTAAATTTTGATAGAAATTGCAATATTGTTTGATATATTACTATATCATAAATTTCATTTCAAGAACTTTTCTCTTAACTTTCTCAATGACAAAGTAACAACGTATTTTCCAACAGCTGTTACAAGATGGTACAGAAATCTGTCGTTTCAAAATGGTTGGCCGTTACTGTTATCTGTGCTACGTTTTCTCTTCTTTCTAAAGAACAAGGCATCACTGTCTTGCTAGTTTGCACCGTTTATCATCTGCAGCAGAAGTGGAGAGAGAGCCATTCTTTCAGGTAAACGTTTTCCTCTCTTTTTTTTATGACTCTACAGTAAAAAAGCATTATTACTAAAAAAATATGAAGGTACTATTATGTAAATAAGCTTTCATATTTTATTATATATATATAATAACATTGTTTACTGTTATTGGATAAGTAAATTGCGTTAAAATTTGCCATTTTTACTATGCCAAATGTTGACGTTTATTATCAAACTTATACTTTTAGACTTTAGTATAATTAAATGTTGAGAGATTTTATTCTACTCTTACCTTTTTCAGCTTTTGAATAAGTAGATGTAAAATCGATATAACGTTGTTGTTTAATTCAAAGGTTTATGAAAGAGCTAATATATGATTAATTATCAAGGATAGCTAATTAATCATCAATTATCTCGTTGTAGTAAACTAAAAATGTGAAAATTGTATACACGAAAGTAGCATTAATTATTAAATTTATATATACTAAGTTTTTTGTTTTTGTGAGTTTTTTTATTACTTAGAAAACTTTTTATGCGTCTCTTCAAACTTTTATGATTTCTAAAGTTTTATAGTGTATTGTTTAGTCAATAGTTTGACATAAGACAAGTAACGTGAGTTCAATTAATTTTTGTTTTTAAAATTAAAATTTTCTAGGTTTTTAAAATTTATTTTATAAGTAAAAGTTGAATATAAGTCAAAACTTTATTAAATAATAAAATATTTCATTCCAAGAATGAAATTATTAATAAAAATATCTTCACTTTTGTATCATACAGCAATGACAAAACTTAATTTTAAAGGAATTTAATAAATAAAAAAATATTTTTTTATCATCGTGTCAGTGTTATAACAGTGTTAACTCATTTATTAAGCCTCAAAATAACGTATGACATTCTGTACCTCTAAATATAGGACTACGTTTAGACATGCTTTTATATTACGTTACGTTACGTCTGACAATCAAAGAAGCGTTATTTAAGACGTTACAAATAATACCTTCTTTCATTGATCAGATGTATCGTAACGTAATGTAAGAAAAGCCTGTCTGAACACAGCGTAACAGCCTCGTGTGTTGTATCAAAGTAATCCTCCTAAAAAAAATTCGACAACGATTAGATAGTGAAGTAGCTATATCGAAGATGGTTGCTTTTTTTTATTTCTATTTTTTAGTTAATTATATTTTTAAAAACCAATCTTTAATTCAGTCTCTAATAATAAAAATTTAAAGCTTTTAAATTTTGTAAATATTAATAAAATTCTTTAAAATTTTTTACTTNAATTTAATTGAAAAACTATAGTTTAAAAAATAATTAAATTATTCTTTGTAAAAAAAGCAGAAAATTAACGAATTTTTGCGACAAAATACACAATTTATTAATAAATTTAACCTTATAATTTAATGTAGTATATATTCAATTATAATTAAATTTTTCGTACGTATTATTGTTGAAACTATTTAAATTTTCACGCAAAATTTTATATACTTTTCAATAGTAGTATCGAGGGAATGTGAAAATTGAATTTTAGCGATAACAGATTGCATTATTCCCTCGATTAGTCGTACTTGGTAACTAAACATAGACTCATTTATCATCATGTTGGTGAAACAAATGCAAATGTCACATTGTTCGTGTTTAAAACATTTTCCGCCAACTTTTAACTTGAAGGGGGGGTTTTCAACTTGATAATGAATAAAATAAATGCATTTTGCTTAGGTTTCTAACATACACCTATCTGGTAGCTGTCAACTTTTGGTTGTTGCTATTCCCACTTCGATTATCTTACGACTGGCAACTAGGAAGCATCAGTTTAATCGAGAGTTTTAATGATATAAGGAATCTTGCAACTTTATTTTTTGTAACCGGATTATTTATTGTCGTCGGAAAATCTTTTTATGTCCAGGTAAGGATGAGGTAGGTTTTAAACCTTATAACTTTATTTTACTTTTTTTTTAAGTTTACCATTAAAATTTATATAAGATTCGAAGGTATAGGCTATTTAATATGTTATGCAATGCAAAAAATAACCTCTGTGGCTCGTATAATTGAGCCAAAAGTCAGTTAACCATTGTAGAAACTAAATTTCTATCTTATTTAAAAGTAACAATTTCGTTTTTTGTGTTTTCGCCAATTGGATAAAAGAAAACAAATTATTATAAATTCGATTTATGATTCATATTATCAAATGTATCTGGAATATACTAAATAAAATACGGTTAACTAACTTTTGGTTCACCCTGTGTGTTAAATTAATTTACGGGGTGACCTAAAAGTTAGTATATAAATGAGGAAATTAAATAATATAATAATGCTTTGAATAAAGTCTGTCGACTAATGGAGGTCGTTGAGGTTACATCGAATGGAATTTCAACGGATTACCCAACAATGTTGCAATTCATTAAGTAAGATCGTTATGTTTCAGAAATGCGGAATTCGTTCGAGTGTTAAATTCAAATAATCTTTCCTTTGTTGTATAGGGAAAATCTTCAAATTGCTAAGGAAATTTTTAAGGATAAAAGATTTATTACTTCGCTAGTAACGGTAAGTTTTCATTTGAATATAATAATGTAATTTTAATAGTTAAATAACGGTGTTAAGTATTTTTCTTTTCTGAATTTAATTATATTACAACACTCGACTTTATTAATGTTGTATGTTGAGATGTTATCGAAATGAGCTCCCAAAATGGAACGTCTAGAATTTAAATTTGTTTAAATAAATGATAATAAATGTTTATCTTAAACAGTAAACGTCATTTATATTATTTTATAACACTTTTCAATCATTTTCGAATCTGTAAATTGTGTTTAGCATCGTTTAATCGTAATTTCAAATTAATTCGGCGTAAGAAACTACATCAAAAATTTCTTTTAAAAAATGTCATTTTTTAGTAAATAAAAATAAAAATTCATTAAAATTATTCATCTCGAAAGCATTTTAATATCTTATCTTAGTTAAATTAGTCATAAATAAACGTGTTTTTAATTATGTTTTATGAATTTTTAATGTATTTTATAGTAAATTGTAAATAGAGAAGAGATTTTTAAATTTATTTTCGAGCCAAAAAGAAAAGTAAATAATATGAAAATATCTTTGTTCGAATCTTTTAAATAGATCACTCACAAAGTCAAAAGGGATTTCTTTTCTTTCCTTTCATTTGAAGAAACTTTATGAAAACTTATATGGCTTCTTCACATTTCTATAATGCAGTTTAAAAGCTTTTTTTCCGTTTGGATCGATCTTTTTTTATTTCTTTCGACAGATTTTGGTACTCTTGGGATTACGAATTTTGATGTTATGTGGATCCATGCCAAGATTTTCCGATCAGGATAATCCTGCTTCGTTTTCTCCTTCTTTCCTCACACGGTACGTTATAATTCGCATTTTTATTCTCCAAATAATAATAATAAAACTACACATTAAAAAAGTAGAAAAATTAATTTAAAAATCAAATTTTTTAAATATTTTAATTAATTCAATTATATTAATATAACTGATATAAAAACATTTTAAAAATTAATTCTCTATTCTGAAGTATTTTTATATCAAATATATTAATGTTTTTTTTACTAATTTCAATAGTATTTTAATTATTTTCTTATAAATCATGCATATAAAAAAGGAGTTTTTTTGTTATACACTCGAAAATAAATTAAAAATGAAATTTTTATTTTTAATTGGAAATTATTCGTCAATTTTTAAAGTAATATTTATTAAAATTGAATTGTTATTCACTGAAAAATAAGAATTAAAAAAACTAGTCGAAAAAATATCTTAAAATTACTTTAAATTTAATAAATAAATAAAATTTAATTGAAAAACTATAGTTTAAAAAATAATTAAATTATTCTTTGTAAAAAAAGCAGAAAATTAACGAATTTTTGCGACAAAATACACAATTTATTAATAAATTTAACCTTATAATTTAATGTAGTATATATTCAATTATAATTAAATTTTTCGTACGTATTATTGTTGAAACTATTTAAATTTTCACGCAAAATTTTATATACTTTTCAATAGTAGTATCGAGGGAATGTGAAAATTGAATTTTAGCGATAACAGATTGCATTATTCCCTCGATTAGTCGTACTTGGTAACTAAACATAGACTCATTTATCATCATGTTGGTGAAACAAATGCAAATGTCACATTGTTCGTGTTTAAAACATTTTCCGCCAACTTTTAACTTGAAGGGGGGGTTTTCAACTTGATAATGAATAAAATAAATGCATTTTGCTTAGGTTTCTAACATACACCTATCTGGTAGCTGTCAACTTTTGGTTGTTGCTATTCCCACTTCGATTATCTTACGACTGGCAACTAGGAAGCATCAGTTTAATCGAGAGTTTTAATGATATAAGGAATCTTGCAACTTTATTTTTTGTAACCGGATTATTTATTGTCGTCGGAAAATCTTTTTATGTCCAGGTAAGGATGAGGTAGGTTTTAAACCTTATAACTTTATNAAATACAATTAATTTAATATTGTGTGTCAGTATTTAGACTTTTAGCTTTAAATTGTAACATATTAAAGGCTCTCCCCCATATAGCAAGTAGTTATATGTTTAAAAGCATTAACCTTTAGAGCTTTATAGCATAAGGTCCTAAAATAAACCGTATATAGCTTATATAATTTGTATCCTTATATATATGGTTTATATCACTTTTTCAGTATATATACAGCTTATATGTATCTCGTACAGCGTATATATCTAGTCCTTCTATGTGCATATGTGATGTAGTATAGACATTTGCGAATTAACATCTTCCAGGGCGCCTAAGAACAGAAGAGTGGATGCCATTTTACATAATTTTTTCGACTTTATGAACTAATAACGCCTAATTGTAACTAACTGCGACGATAAAATTGCTTTATTTTAATAAATTTTGGGCCCCTGGAAACTCGGAGACCCTAGGCATATGCCTCAAATGCCTAGTAGGTAATTCGATACTGAATACAATCAGGATTAAAATTTGAACGTTATTATAGTTTATTCTTTTACACTTTAAAAAAAAATCTCACTGTTTTCTAGTCATGCAATCAATTGCCACAGCTAAATTTTACATCACAAACTTCAGATGACAAAAGTATGTTAAATTGAAATTATATGACAAAATTATTTATAAAATGGAGACTATAAAATATAATAAATAAACAAATAAATTAATCGAGTTTAATAATGAAATTAGCAAAAAACAACAATTAAGTTTTTAATTTTAAATGTTTTCTTATAACCAGTCGTCGTTAAGACAAGCATATTTTATAACCAATCGGCGTTAAGACAAGCATGCTTTATAACCATGAAGGGTATTAATTTTATACTTATTTCAAAGAAATAACGGCTAACTCTGTTAGATTCACTTGCAAAACGATAGAAGATCTACCTTTATTGAATATATAAAGTATAAATTTCACAAATATGATGTCAAATTTTTGTGCAGCTGAATAGAATAACCTTAAGTCCATGAGATGCAGCGCGTGATTACATTTCGTATTGTATTTCTAGCATGCTCTGAGACACGTGGACGTTCAGACGTTCTCATCAATAGTAGATCCCGTTTATTTCGAATTTATTCAACAATCCGCGCTTTGTTTTATTTAAAAAACCTGTCTTAAACTTTCTACTAATTTCATTTTATTTATTTTGTTTCCACAATCACTCGTTCTTGTGCAGTATGCAGTACATTATCTTCTTGGGATCCTGCAGTTAGAATCAATAAAACTTTTACTAAAATAGATATAGTATGTTTATAAAATTCCTATTTTTAAGCTAAAATTTCATATAAGAAGAATGATGATATTTATATATTTATAGAAAATATCTTTACTTAATTTTGTCACCTCCATCTCTCAATGTTATTATATTTACTTAGAGTTCATCATGTATATTAAATTTAACATTTCTTGCGGTTTCCACGCAATAATATAAACTTACGTCGAGAATCTCGAAAGCATTTTAATATCTTATCTTAGTTAAATTAGTCATAAATAAACGTGTTTTTAATTATGTTTTATGAATTTTTAATGTATTTTATAGTAAATTGTAAATAGAGAAGAGATTTTTAAATTTATTTTCGAGCCAAAAAGAAAAGTAAATAATATGAAANGATAGTTATGTTTAAGAAACACTAACTTGTTAAACATATTAGCACGAAGTTAAAATTATGCGTGGCGCCATTCGTTACGAAACGTTAATTTTAAAAGTAGCGACGACTTTTTAAAATAATTCATAAACTTGGAAGGTTTTTGATATAAAGGATCCACCCCTTAATATCTTCCCAACTAATAGACCGATTTTCATGAAAATTTCTAAGAACACAACCCCCTAATATACAAACGTCACTACAAAATTTCAGAAATTTTCTGCAAAAAGCACAGGAGTTATTAAGATTTAAAGTAGATGAAAAAATCATAACCACCCACACACACATACTAGTATCTATATATAGAGAAACCCCAACTTGTTTACATTTGCCAACGTTTCAAGGTCCTCTGAGTCCAAAAAAAATGTTAAAATTTTTTGGGGGGTCATATTTTTAACAGCTCGCCATACTTTCTTCGGGAAAGTAAAATAAAATGTAATATAACGTGAAAGAAATATGAAAATATTAAATTAATTTGAATAAAATTTTCAAGATTATCCTATGCTTGTCTTTGGTATTAAATGGCTAAAAATAAACGTATAATTTAAATTAATCTTATTATTAAAAATTTTAAATCACTTTAATTTGTTATTCACAAATCTTATGAGAGATTTTTCTAATTATTAGAGATGCGAAAGAGAATCTTTAGGATTATCTCTCTCAGTTTTGATATTCTCCTTCCTACCTGCCACAAATCTATTTACTACTGTTGGCTTCGTAATAGCAGAAAGAGTGCTATATATACCCAGGTGAGTTTTACTTAAAGTAAACTGTAATTATCGCTTAGTTAAACTACAGTAAATTGGACACGCGGCTTCGTGGGATTAATTAGATGCTAAGGGAATTTTAATAAAAATATAGCTTAACAATTATAAAGATAAATCTGTAAGAAATTAGTTTATTATGTGAGGAAAATTTCATCTATTCGTGAAACTTTAATGAAAATATTTCTCTCTCTGGTAAAACGTGATTTCACAAAATTCGATGCTTCTAGGAATTCTTGACTTTTCAATGACGAGGAAACATTTCTAGTGATTTGATAAATTGATTCAATCATTAATCTAAGCAAAATTTAAAATTAGACGACCTACACAAACACTCAAGAATGAGGAAAGGTCATTAAAGGAAAATATCGAATTTCGGTCACGGAAGTAACAAAGAGAAACAAGATCTAAGTAATGAGATTACGTTACAATGTGTTCAGAGACATTGTGTCGACTTGACAGTATAGCAGTCCTCGGCAATTTGGGTGCAGATGTACCGTGAAGTTGTACTTTTTTTTCTTTTAGTATTGGATTCTGCATGGTAGTCACGTGTGGCTTGAAGAGGATCAAACCACGTGGTCTTCGGATGGTATGGACCTGTAGGCTAGTCACGTGTTTTTTGGTAGCTCTTTTCGTTCTGAGAACGACCAAGAGAAATCAGGATTGGCTCACCAGGGAGTCTCTATTCAAGTGAGTAGATGTTTCTACGTTTCTTTTCTATTGTTTTATTTTCATCGATAAAGTTTTATATTGGACTGCATAGGCCGAATAAAAAAATAAATAAAAAGAAAAACTAAGAATTGCTGTGGTCAGTTCTTTGTTTTGGATTTAACTTTGTTTCCAATATAAAAAATAAATACCTGTCTTTGAAAGTCGTATTTTATCTTCAAGATTGATCACTTTTATTAAATTGTATAAATAGATGTCACATATATAATAATATTTATAACTATTAAAAACATTCAAGAAGTATAACTTATAAATATTGTTTATTCTTTTACAAAAAATGCAATTTTGTTTGAAAAAAATAACTTATAATCTTGAGTTTATTCTAGAAGTTGATCCAGAAACAAATCTTATAGGGGCGATGTATTTTTATCTAAAAATAGAACAGAGATAGATCTGCCTCCCTCCAGACCCATCTCTATTCTACTTTTATGTAGAAATATATTGAAAAATTTATTTTTAAACAATATATATTACATCAAATCAAAGCCAGATTTATGTATAAACTAAACAATCTACAGCTTAGGGCCTTAAGCCTCGAAGGGCCCCCTCCATTCATAAAATAATATACAGTCTACTATTATTTGATGGAGGGAGAAAGACCTTTTAAACGTTATAGCTTATGGCCATTAACAAAAATCTAAATCTGGCTCTGCTTTAAATTGTAAAGAATATATTAATATATTTTTAAATTTGAATTAAATTTCTGTACAAAGTTTAATTATTTTTTAATTTAAAATTTTCTAAAGATCGGGACTTTCCACATCTCCAAGCAATGCCAAGGTTCATTATAATTACGCTAACTTACAAATGGACATTGGGAATAAAGAATTGGCAATAAAACATTACAGAATAGCATTAAGGTAAGATTTGAGAAAGAAAATTATATAGGAAATTTAAAATTTTTTATAAAACAATAATTGAATTAAACATTACAATAAGAATTAGAAAAATTATAATAATTAACAAAAAGTAAATTTTCAGTGGTGAAATAATTTATTTTCTAGTAAAATTATCTCAAAATCTAATTTTTGTATATTTGAAAAAAAAGTATTTTTATTAAAAGAATTTTCAAATTTAATTAACTTAATAACAAACCAATAATAACATTTGTAACTCAGAGGTTTCCTTTTTATTCAATTTATTTTTACTCAAAATTCAATTACAAAGAATGGAAACAGAAAAATTAAATTTCCCTTTTCAATCTAAATTGGATATTTATCAAATATTAACATTAAACTTTAAACATTTATTTAATTTATAAATTTCTTTTACTTAACCTAAAAATTTCAACAGGAATTTTTTTTTATGAATTTTCTAAAAATTGTCCATTAACACGACATCATTTTCATCCAAAAAATAATAAAATAATAATATTTAAAATTT